TTCAATTATTGCAAATTTTCAGGAGCAAAATCGACAACACCAACAGATTAATTGATTTGTTGCAGATTTCACATTGCTGTTAATTTTAAGTTAAAACCCCTTTTTGGTCCCTGAACTATTATACGGACTCCCGATTTGGTCCCTGAACTAAAAAAATTCCTGATTTGGTCCCTACTGTTTACCATTTCGACCCCGATTTAGTCCTTCCGTTAAAAATTGACTGACGTGTCCCATCACCTAACGAAAAAAGATGACAGCATGGCAAAAAAAACAATGACATGGCAAAAAAACAATGACATGGCAAAAAAAAACAATGACATGGCAAAAAAAACCCTTAAAATATTTCCTTTTCCTTTTTTTCTTTTTTTCTCCTTTCATCTTCTTCCTTCCTTTTCGCCTTCTGCAAACCCTAACACCTTCTAACATTAAATCAAAAAATAATACAAACCCAGAATCTCCCCAAACCAGTCACCGTCCTAAATTCTTTCTTTCAACCTCCCAAAAAAACTCAGAAATATCATGACATATTTTTCCAAAATTCAAGCTTCTAAACATAAATATTAAAAAAAAAAAAAGAAATCGAACCCTCGCTGGGTTCTTGATCGAACCCAGTGATCTGCTGGGTTCCCCCAGCAGGCTGGGTTCCCCCAGCAGGCTGGGTTCTTGATCGAACCCTCGCTGGGTTCGATAATCATAAGCAGCCATTCCTCAACCAAATTTTGCCAAATTCTCAATGAGAACAGCCCACACAAACAAAATATTCACTAGCAAAATAATCAGCTGCAACCCAAAAATATCCCTAAAATTCAAGCTTCTAAACATAAATATTTTAAAAAAAAAAATCAAACCTGGCAAACCGAGAACCCAGCAGATCGCTGGGAATCGAATCCAGCAGATCGAAGAACCCAGCACACTTGGGTTCCTTGCGAACCCAGACGCTGGGTTCGCAAGGAACCGAACCCAAGTGATCTGGGTCCGTCGAACCCCGGCCGAACCCAGGCGATATGGGTTCGTCGAACCCCGGCCGAACCCAGATCGCCTGGGTTCCAGGGACCCAGATCGCCTGGGTTCCACGGACCCAGATCGCCTGGGTTCGACGAACCCAAGCGAACCCAGCGCCCGGGTGGGTTTGAAGGAACCCAGGCCTGTTGGGTTCCAAGGGGAAGGAGGAAGAGAAAGGGGAAAGAGAAAAGGAAAGGGGAAGGAGAAAGAAAAAAGAAAAAAAAGAAAGAAAGAAAGAAAAAATAAGTTTTATTTTTTATATTACTTTTTTATATTATTTTTTTTTCACGTCATCACTTTTTGATTATATTACTTTCCACGTAGATTACTATATGACATGTCATCTGGTAACCGTTAAGTAACAGGCCACGTCACACAATTTTTAACGGAAGGACCAAATCAGGGTAAAAATGGTAAACAGTATGACCAAATCAGGGATTTTTTTAGTTCAGGGACCAACTCGGGAGTCCGTACAATAGTTTAGGGACCAAAAAAGGGTTTTAACCTTAATTTTAAAGATGTTGTCACAAATTTCTAGCATACTATCAATGGGTGTTTACTGCTATAAGTATGCAAAGGATAAATGAAGCAAGATAGCTCTGCCTTTCACACAACTAGCCCAGCACTATTTACGTTTCAATTTCACAAGTAATGTCTTAGTTTAGATTTAGCTTTCTCAAACTACTTTCCTAGTTTAGTCTTTAGCTTTGCACTACCATTAGTTTTAGCTCTAGTTTTTAGTATTTTGTTATGAATATCT